AAGCAGTATGACAATTCCTCAAAAAGTTCAAATTAGAAATAAATACCATTTGATCCAGCCATTCCATTACTAGGCATATATCCTAAAGAAGTGAAAGCCAGGACAAGAACAGATATGTGCACACCCATATTCACTGCAGCACTATTTATAATAGCAAAAAGATGGAAACAACCTAGGTGCTCATCAGCAGAAGAATGGATAACCAAACTATGGTACATACACACAATGGAATACTGTGCAACCCTAAAGAATAATGTAGAATCTTCAAAACATGGCATAACATGAATGAACTTGGCGGACATTATGCTGAATGAAATAAGTCACTCACAGAAGGACAAATATTGTATTAGTCCATTATTGTAAAAAGTCAAGGAAAGATTTATATATTGAAGGAAATTCTCTTAGTTGATTACCAGGGGTGGGAGGGTAGGGTAGAGAACACTGCTAGATAAGTAGAGACACGTACTGATTTGGGTGAAGAGAAAGGCAATGTACCAAATGTGAGTGATCAACACAGTGGCATTGAGGAAGAGGAAGACAGAGAGAGGTGCATGGGACAATCTACTTCCATAGTGATACTGTGTTGGAAACCCAAGGAGGACTTACTATGAGTTGAATCCGACTCAAGGGCGGTGGGTTTTAGTATGGAATCAAATTGATAACAACTGGAAAGAAGGTGAAAATGATTACACAACTCAAAAAATATAAAGTGTCATTAAATGGTACATGTAGAATCTCTTGAATTGGTTTATATTTTGCTGTGTATATTCTGAACAACAACAAAATTATGAAAAACCTGATATATACTTGTAGTGCAGTGTGTTGCTTAGTATGGCCCTGCTAGCCATGATCTTTGTGACTCCCACCAGATGACTGGGTGGAGGTGTGCAATGTAAGGTGCTTGAGCCCACCAAAGGAATCATATAGCTTATTAATAATATAAATAAGGTACATGGCATCCTTGTGGGGATGAGACCCTGGGAATAAGGTATATGGAACTATAACATGGGGATTGGTCAGTTTTGCCATCCGCTAGCCTTTAAATTAGCCATTCCATATATGTACACAGGGAATCTCATGACTATTGAGAAAGAATAGGCAGAAGGGGAGGACATCCTTTGGACCCCAAGGTCCCTGTGCTGAACCTCCTCAAGCCAGGAGACAAGAGTTGCAATACTTTGCTGAGTTAGTGAGAGATGGCAAGAAGTGGTAGCACAGAAATGGTGGCAGCAGAGTCAGCATAACCAAGAGAGCAGCACGAGACAGCTTCCCAGCTAACGGAGCAAGAAATCTGCCTTTGGGAAGAAGGCTTGCTGGCAGAGTAGGGTGGCTTGCTGGACACCTATTGGCAGAGCAAAAAGAGCTTTGTAACACTTGCGCAAGCAGGGCAGAGGCCAAGAGTCCTCAGAGCTAAAGGACTGAGGCCAGAGAGAAGCATGCCTGTGGCACAGTTGAGAAGAAGCTATCCTGATTGAAGAACTGTACCCTGAGTTGTTTCTGATCCTGAATTATAACCTGCTACTATTGCAATGGAGTTTTGAACCCATCAGAGAAGTAGAGTGTCATGTGAGGGATGGTTGGTTTCAGAAATGGTGGCATGTCTGACCTCTGTGTCATAGGAATCAGCCTTGGGCTGTTGATGTTCATCTTGATTTTCCTCCTGCCTTGAGATATTTGAGGAGGTCAGATGATGATGCTCCTGCTATGTCATTTTTGTGTGCTCTTCATTATGATTCACTTCTAGGTACTTTTAACTTGTAATATTATTTGTTCTATAGCCCTTGAATTATTTAGCATTAATAATTATAATTATTTAATTTAATTTCCAAATATGCAAGGATTTTTATTTTTTATTTTTGTTAATAACTTCTTCATTTATCATAGTATAATTAGAAAGCATGGTCCACGTGATACCTATTCTATAAAATTTGTTGAGACTTATTTTAGAGCCTAATTAATATATAATCCATTTCTATAAATGTGCCATGTGTGCTTGAAAGAATATGTGTTCTTTAATAGTCCACTAAGTCTACTGGGTCAAAGTTATCCCTAATTTTTGTTTTTGGCTTGTTTGTTTCAAAGTCCTTTTTTGACTTACATTAATGTAATTATCATTTAGTAGAGCTTGAACTTTGTAGAGGAATACTATGTTTCCTGCAATATGTGGTTGTCTTACAGGAATGGTGTTGCATGTGCTTCTTTTAGATAACCTATCCAGGATCAGTTCCTTAGAAAATTTCTTAGCTTGGAGAATTTTATTATGAATATGGTGTTTATGCTTTTGTTTTATCAGTACCAGTTGCTACTGAGTTGATTTTGACTCATGGTAACCGGGTGGCTGATTTTTTTCAGAAGTGGAGTGTCAGGCCTTTCTTCCAAGGCATTTCTTGGGTAGACTTGAACCTCTGACCTTTTGGTCAGTAGCAAAGTGTGTTAACCATTTGTACTACCCAGGTACTCCTTGCTTTTGTTTTAGAGATGGCTATTGTATATGGCATATAATTTGGTTTATTGTTTGCTTTACCAAATCTGAGAGGTCTGTTCTATCAAATATGGTTCCTTGAGTCAAACATTTTCTCTTAAATCTCTTACTATTTCGTCCTAGTATAAAATACATCTGGCAAACCCATATATGTATTCATTTGCATGTATCTGATAACTAATACTTGCTTGATCTTATCTTAAGCTATTTTTTCTTGTCTGTTAATTATTATTATTATTATTATTATGTTTTTTGATGTTACATTCCACTTTTTTCCAAAATTTATTAGCTTGATTAGATTTTACTTTTTTTTTTTTTTTCCATTTGGATTTGGCTCAGATATGTGAGAGTACAATAGCCTACGTTAAAGACCCAGAATTGGGATTGACAATATCTATCAATATATGAGAATGGGGACAGAAAGGAAGTCCACAAAGTGAGCCTTGAAGTTAGTTAAGGGTGGATAGTGTTTCTAAAAGGAATTATTGATGGTCACTGAGAGAGGATTTAGAGGATTAAATTTTTAAATTGATTTTCTTGCTAAGAAATTATTGGTGACCTTTCAAAATATTTAAATATGGTAGTGGCACAAATTGAATGAGTTAAAGAGTGACTTGGAGATAAGAAAGATATTTTAAGTGTAGATTTGTCTTTAAAATAATACCGTGATGAGAGAGAGATTTAAAATGTATTCTTGTCCTTAAATATAGTGAAATAGCTAGACTCACTTTTGGTCAAGCGGTCAAGGTGCTCTTTTTTCTTAAGAATTAAGACATTTGAGCATTTGATAGGTAGAAATTAAAGAACTACAGTGAGGTTTTTTTTTTTTTGGTTGTTGTTTAACAAGAAAAAAGTTAAATACACTGGAAAAAGAATAGCTGTCAGAACAAAGATTATTCTTGGACAGGATAAATTTTATTTAGTTTGAAGACAGATTGTAACTATGGGTGAAAATGATGAAAATTTCTACTTAAAGGTGAAATTAGACTGAAAATTTGAGGAAATTTAGTCAGGTGGACTCTTACTTTCTTTGTGAAAGACAAGGCCATGGGATATTAATGAATAGTTTTTAGCAATCTAATTATGAAACTTACTAAATTTACCCCAGATTGAGGGTTTACCAGATATATACACTAATAGGATGAATAGATAAAGGATTTGAGAGATAATGGTTTACCCTTAGAACCACATTCTGTAGGCTGGATTGTTGTGTGCCATCAAGTCTGTTCTGACACATGTTGTTGTTGTTATATGCCGTCGAGTTGAACCCGACTCATAGCAGCCCCTCCTTGGGTTTCCAAGTCAGTATCACTATGGAAGTAGATAGCCTAACCTTCCTTCCGAGGAGTGGCTGGTGGGTTTGAACCGCCAGCTTTCTGGTTAGCAGTCAAGTGCCTTAGCCACTATGCTACCAGACACATAGTGACCCTATATGACAGAGTAGAACTGCCTCATAGGGTTTCTGTACTCTTTATGGAAGCAGACTGCCATACCTTTCTCCTGAGAGAAGCTAGTGGGGGTTTCAACAGCCCACCTTATGGTGGTCAGCCAAGCACTTAGCCACTTTGCCATGAAGCTTCCTTAGAGAGAGAAAAAAAAGTGAAGTTAGGAAGGGACTTATATACTGGGAGATGAATACTCACACTATACTCACAGCCATCAAGTCAATTTGACTCATAGAAACCCCTCATTGGGTTTCTGAGGCATCATCTCTATGGAAGTAGATTGCCCAGTCTTCCTTCTGAGGAGTGGCTGGTGGGTTTGAACCATCAGCCTTCTGGTTAGCAGTCAAATGCCTTAGGCACTGTGCCACCAGAACTCCCTAAGGAGTAAATGTTAAGACTTCTCTTTGATATTGAAGAACTAGAATAATGATAATACAGTAGAGAGAAGAGTACAATAAAGGTGGTGCCCTTTTCATGAAAAACAAAAAAATGGTATCAGCACATGATCCATCTGCACACTCCATACATAACCATGGGCTTCCCAGATCCATTTTCAACAATAATACATGAAGTATTTGACATAATTAAAAAACAAAGAGTAGAAATAGTTATTTTAGCTGCCTGGGTCTTAATTATTAATTAATTATGACTCTTTTAGCTACTGTTCCCTCCATATCTCTTCCCAGAGAAGATATATGTGCACTAGCAGGTGGGAAAAAAGAGCTTGTCAGGAAAGGTAGTTTTATCACTTGGATTTCATTCACAAATTAAATTATTATTATAAAATTTTAAGGGCCCTGATTGCATAGCAGTTAAAGCATTCAGCTGCTAACCAAAAGGTCAGTGGTTCAAGCCCACCAGTTGCTCTGTGGGAGAAAGATGAGGCAGTTGGCTAGCTACTGTAAGGATCTACAGCCCTAGAAACCTTATGGGGCAGACCTACTTTGTCCTAAAGTATCGCTATGAGTTGTAATCAATTTGATGGTGGTGAATTTGGTTTATTATAAAATTTCACATTATATAAGTGGTTCACATTATATATCCAGTAAACAGCACTATTTTAGGTGGATCATATGGACAGAAAGGTAAGATTTCTTAGATGATGGAAAGATGTGATAATGAACAAAGGACTCACACAAACAGTTGCTCTTCAGTGTTCCAAATGAGAAATACTGTTGTTTGAAATTTCAATCTTTATTAATTTTAACTCATTGTATGTGAGCTAGAGTCAATACTCTTCAACAGTTTTCATCCAACAACGTAAAGAAAAGGTATAAAGAGTGCTTCTCATTATAGTGTCTTCAGATACTAAGTGAACCATAATACTCCTAGAGTAGTGGGTAGAGGTCATTGAAATAATCTATTTTAGACCTGAATATGCTTTCTATGAAGGGGACTGGTCCCAAATGGGAAGCTATTGGCAGCCTAGTCATTCCTTGACAATCTGTAGAATTTCTCTTATTTGAAGGAGAAGCTTTAATATTGATATTTGGCCTTTTCCTCCACAGGTATCACACTAACAGCCCAAACTTCCGCATTTTTAATTTAAGAAGTACTGTAAGTATTTAGTATTTTCTAAAACTATGTTTACAAGTTTTTGGACTGTAGATCAGAGAGTAGAATTAATTATACTCAGTTTTATGGCACAGTATCTTTCTTTCTTTAAAAATTTTATTGTGATTTGGGTGAAGGTTTACAGAGCAAATTCATTTTCCATACAGCAGTTCATACACATTTTGTCTCATGACATTCACTGCAATTCCCCACAGTGTAACAGCTCTCTTCCCACTTTCTCCCTGTAAGGACACCTCTTCCCTGTGTCCTTCTTTCCTATATATTCCTTCCCCCGAGCTATCTCTAAAATACTGCCCTTCTGTTCTCCTGTGATTGATCATTCTAAGGAGTGTATCTACCTGAGGTAAATGTTCACCCTATATGCCTGTCTATTATATGACTGGAAGTTATGGGAGTTGAGATCAAGTCCATAACTGAAGGGTAGCTAGGGGCCATAATCATGGGGGTCTCATCAGGCTCTATCAGACCAGTAAACCTGGTCTTTTTTTTTTGTTAAATGATTTTGAGTTTTGTTCCACATTGTTCTCCCACTCTATCTAGAATCTCACAGTATCTGCCTTAGATATCTAGTGCTACTGTAACAAAAGTACCATAAGTGAATGACTTTAAGAAACAGAAATTTATTTTCTCACATTTTAGGAGGCTGAATTCAAGGCACTGGCTCTAGGGGAAGGCTTTCTGTCTCTGTTGGCTGTGGGGGAAGGTCCTTGTTCCTTGATTCCTTAGTAATCTTCATGTGGTGTGCCATCTGTCTTTTCCCATCTCTACTTGCTTACTTGCTTTTTAATCTCCTTTATATCTCAGAAGAGATTGACTAAGAACAACTCTCCACTAATGTTGTTGTTATTGTTAGGTGCCGTTGAGTCATTTCTGACTCATAGCAACCCTATGTACAACAGAATAAAACACTGCCCAGTCCTGTGCCAACTCCATGATCCCATTGTTGTAGCCACTGTGTCAATCCATGTTGTTGAGGGCTTTCCCCTCTTTCATTGATTTTCCACTTTACCAAGCATGATATTCTTTTCCCGGGAATGGTCTCTTCTTACAACGTGACCAAAGTAGGTCAGACGAAGTCAGGCCAGTCTCACTTCCAAGGAGCATTCTGGCTGCACTTCTTCCAGGACAGATTTGTTAGTTCTCTTAGCAGTCCATGGTACTTTAGCATTCTTTGCCAGCACCACAACTCAAAAGCATCGACTCTTCTTTTGTCTTCCTTATTCATTGTCCAGCTCTCAAATGCATATGAGGTGATTGAAAATACCATGGCTGTCAGGCATACATTACTTCTCAAGGAAACATCTTTGTTCTTCAGCACTTGAAAGAGGTCTTTTGCAGCCGATTTGTCCAGTGCTGTACATCATCTGATATCTTTACTGTTTCTTCCATTGGCATTGATTGTAGAACCAAGTAATATGAAGGCTTTGACAACTTCAATCTATTTTCCATATATCGTGATGCTGCTTATTGATCCAATTGTGAGGATTTATGTTTTTTTTTTTTTTAATATTGAGGTGTAATCCATACTTCAGACTGTATTCTTCAATCTTCATCAGTAGGTGTTTTAAGTCATCCTCACTCTCAGCAAGCAAAGTTGTGTCGTCAGCATATTGCAGGTTGTTAATGAGCCTTCCTCCAATTCTGTTGCCATGTTCTTCTTCATATATATAGTCCAGCTTCTTGGATTATTTGTTCAGCATAGAAATTGAATAAGTATGATAAAAGAATACAACCCTGACACACTCCCTTCTTGATTTTAAATTGTGGAGTGTCCCCTTGTTCTGTTTGAACAGCAGCTTCTAGTTTATGTACAGGTTCCTCATGAGCACAATTAAGTGTTCTGGAATCCT